GCGCCAGCTGCACAGGCTGCTGGCACAGCACCACACCAGCCTCCTCGCTGTCGGAATCAGCTACAACCCGCACAGGCCACTGACGGGCCACAACAGCGCGCGTGTCTCCTGCATGCGCAGCGGAGACCTGAAAATCAGCTGGGAAGCATATACGCATGCGTGGTGGAGCTGACCTAGGGCAGAGATGGCTCCACGTGCAGTCTGTGGAATGCATGCCATAGGTTCGCCATCCCGGGTTTAGGATTTGATTTGGAAGAGGTGCTTTGCAAATTGCATTTTTTGGCAGATTTAAACACTAACCCGCAACTGGTTAAAGCAGACAAATATTTTTTTCCCCCAGAATGGAAGTTCAGACAAATGTACACATTAACGTCCTTCTGTTTGGTTTGGCTACAATTCATGTACACAACCGGCCAATGTTCATTAATGTGTAAAAAAAAAAACCAACAACCCAAACTAAACCCTCACAAACATTATCGATTTTTTTTAGTATATTTTAAGGATGTGATGTCTATTTTTGTCTGTTCTTTCTTTTCACCGCTTCGTTAGTGAGCTGGGCTACTAAAAGAAATAGATGTTCCGATTAGATTAAAGCCGAGCAAATGATGCAAATTGAATTTGGAGGAAGATCAAAAGATGACTGGGGGGGGGGGAAATAAAGCGATGTCTACAAATTGACATTTTGGGGGCGACGGGGAGAGCGCGCACGTGGGCGTGTGGCATTTCATTTGGAAAGGCTGAAATTGGGAACACGGGGGTGCCTGAGGCTTGTGTGCATGCATATGTGTTTCCCCTGCTGAATCAGTAAATCCCTAGGGGAGAATTTCCCTGGCAGATCCTCAAATACAGAAAGGAGGGCAGAGAGCAATGCCACGTCAAGCTGGCTATGATTTAAAGACTATCGTAAATAGTAATGGACAAAGGAAGACACATTGCTGATGTAGTAAATCAGTTCCGTGTTGGGCCAACAGAAGCCCAGGTGGCCTTGGTGCTTACAGGTGAGAGAGATGAATATGTATCTCTCAAATTCTCTGAGAGATGATAGACCCCTGTCAGTCATCCCATATCTTGCATCTAACCTGTCCAGGACACCCTCAATAATCGCCCGTGTTTTAGTTCTGATGTTTCACTGCTAATCATGTTTTTATGCATTCACACGATTCACACATTGATATGTATAAACAATATAAAATAAAATAAAAATCTTGAAATCAAAATTAGCCCGGAGCAGGTAAACCTCAAAGCTAAGAACGCTGGCCTTCACAACGGATTAAATATTGGATCAAAAGAGAAGGTCTCATGAGTGAAAATTGTTCTGGTTCCCTTGTGACAGAATAGCAGAGTTGGAAGGGACCTTGGAGGTCTTCTAGTCCAACTCCCTGCTTAAGAAGGAGACCCTATATACTGGGTGTCGGCAATCTACGGCTCTGGAGCCGCGTGTGGCTCTTTGGTCCCTCTGCTGTGGCTCCCTGGCGGGTGATCCCACCACTGGCTGGCCCTGCCCCTCGCCCTCCCCTCCCAGTCACTCCTCGCCTGGCCTGAGAAGGTAAGGGTGACGGCAGGGAATGGAGAAGGGGTCAGGGCAGAGACAGAGAGATACAGAGAGAGAGAGAGAGAGAGAGAGACATAGAGAGATAGAGGGGGGGAGGGAGAGAGAGAGAGAGATGTCAAAAGGGTTTTGTGGTTCCCGGTTTTTTTTAACAACCAGTTTTCTGCCCTAATGACTGGCTGGGTAGGCGTGGCTAGAGGGCCATGTGACTGGTGGAAGTGAGCGACATCGAGTTGGCCACGCCCACCCAGGTTTTGTGGCTCCCGGTGTTTTCTTTTGTGTGGGAAACGGGCCCAAATGGCTCTTTGAGTGTCTAAGGGTTGCAGACCCCTACTATATACCATTTTGGACGAATGGCTGTCCGATCACTTCTTGAACACCTCCAGTGTTGGAGCACTGACAACTTCTGGAGGCAAACCGTCCCACCGATCAATTGTTCTAACCTTCAGGAAATGTCTCCCTTGATTCTAGGAGTTCCCGATTCTCCTTTCGGTCCCTTCTGTGGCTAATGTTGAAATAGAACTTGCGGCTGCCCTCTAGATATAGTTTGAAATCCGCAGATGTATTAAAAAAATGACAGATGAATAAAAGATGACAAGGAAAATAAAATCTCAGCCGAAAAAGTACCTTAGCTGAGAATAAGAAATGGAATATCTGCTTGTAATTAGTGTCAAAGATTGTAGAAAAATTGTAGCTTGTAATAATACCGAAGAAGTTCTTCTTCCCTTTAAAAAATGTTGTAGTTTGCAGTTCGTAAACTATAGTTTCTAGTTGATCCATGCGGGATTTAGGCATCCCACATTTTATTCAGGATTCCTTTTCTAAGTGCTATTACCACTGCCTGCATGTTCTTGCTGTAAGCTAGCAGTATGATGTGGTATGGAGGTTCCCTCTAAGTTTGTAGAGTCAACCATTGCAATTTTTATGTCTAATATCGTTGGTGGCTGTTGTTAGTTGCGAAGCCGTGTCTGACCCATTGCGACCCCATGGACAACGTTCCTCCTGCCTTCCTGCCCTCTACCATCCTCTAGAGTCCATTTAAGATCACGCCGACTGCTTCAGTGACTCCATCCAGCCACCTCGTTCTCTGCCGTCCCCTTCTTCTTTTGCCTTCAATCTTTCCCAGCATCTTCTCCAATGAGTCCTTCCTTCCTTCTCATGAGGTGGCCAAAGTCTTTGAGTTTCCTCTTCAGGATCTGGCCTTCCAAAGAGCAATCAGGGTTGATCTCCTCTAGGACTGACCGGTTTGATCACCTTGCAGTCCAAGGGACTCTCAGGAGTCTCCTCCAGCACCAGAGTTCAAAGGCCTCCATTCTTTGGCGCTCAGCCTTCCTTATGGTCCAACTTTCACAGCCATCCATTGCAACTGGGAAAACCATAGACTTGACTATGCGCACTTTTGTTGGCAGGGTGATGTCTCTGCTTTTTAGTATGCTGTCTAGATTTGGTGCTCTATTTTAATTCAGAACATTTATGTCCTTAAACTTCCCTATCAACTCTTCCTTTTTAACTTTTTCTCTGGGGCTTCTATTGGCAAGAGTCAAGCTGTCTCATCTTAAACCATGATTCGTCTCCCAGCCCTTAACAATCCTGGTAGAAATTGTCTTCTTCATGCATCCTTTGCAGTCCTTTGCAGTAGAGCAACGTTTTCCAGCCTGGACAGCTTCCAGGCATGGGGACTTCAACTCCCAGAATTCCCCAGCCAGCAAGGCCATTGCTGTGAAGATGTGGAGCTGGAAGTCAGCACATCTGGACGTTTCCCTAGTTGCTGTAGATCTTAGCTTGTTTAGGTAAATAGGCAGGTGTCAGGTTTTCAGGCCGTCTTCAAATAAATTGTGTCTCAAACAAAGTCTTTTTTGAAACAAACTTCCATTTTATTTAGCACGGCAACTTTTACACTGACTCCATGCAGCCAGCACTGAGGTGCTGACCCAGAATCCCTCCTCTTCCTTCCCCCACTCCTCTGCATTCATTGGCCATCTTCCCAATCATTCACCCCTAATCTACTGCTCCAACTCAAAGAATTTCCCCCCTCCCATCCATCTCCTAGGGGACATTATCTCCAGCTAAAATAAGTAGGTGAAAGGCAACCGTCCCGTTGCAGACACTTGCGTTCTCCTTCTCATATCAGCACTACGATAAATGCATCTTGACGTGCTGACAGCAGGTATCAGAGATCATATTCTTTTTCTTCTGGTTCGCTAGTTTCGCGTCGTGAAACATTGGTTGGGGGGAAGCAAAATGTTTTGTTGGTTAAGGAAACAGAGCATGGCAGAATTCCGGATTCTCTCTGCCTCTTTATATCTGCTTCTTGTTTGACAACACAGCTTGGTGCTGCCAGAATAGCGTTGCAGACTGTAGGGAACATTTTAAACATTTGTCTCTGAAAACGGGACCTGCGTTCGCACACCTGCAGAGACCCATCGTTTTACAGCTTCCCATTTTCTAACTTCTCTGCTAGTTTCGTTGTTCGGAGTTTTCAAGGGTGGGTTGAAGATTTCCTCCGGAAAGCTGTGGTTTTCTTTTTTTCCTTCTTTTTTTCCCCTCCCCGGAGATCCAGGATAACGCAAGTTGATGAAGCAAAGGAGAGTTCTCAAAGTTAAATCATGGTTGCTGAAGGGAAATAGAAAGATTCTTTGGAAGGATGAACTTGGGGAACGGGCAAAGAGAGGGCGGAAGAGAGAAGTTTTATAGCACGACTCCATGAAATGGGTTAAATACAGGAGAGAAGAGGCAAAATAGGCGTGTAAGCTGGCTGGCTGGGTGACTTGGGGCCAATCACTGGGTGACGGTGAGTTCTAGTCACACCTTGGGCATGAAAGCCGGCGAGGTGTGCCTTAGCTAATCACCAGGAGTTTGGGAGTTCTAGTCACACCTTGGGCATGAAAGCTGGCTGGGTGTCCTTTGGTGAATCACCAGGAGACTGGGAGTTCTAGTCACACCTTGGGCATGAAAGCTGGCTGGGTGTCCTTTGGTGAATTACCAGGAGATTGGGAGTTCTAGTCACACCTTGGGCATGAAAGCTGGCTGGGTGTCCTTTGGTGAATCACCAGGAGCCTGGGAGTTCTAGTCACACCTTGGGCATGAAAGCTGGCTAGGTGTCCTTTGGTGAATCACCAGGAGCCTGGGAGTTCTAGTCACACCTTGGGCATGAAAGCTGGCTGGGTGTCCTTTGGTGAATTACCAGGAGACTGGGAGTTCTAGTCACACCTTGGGCATGAATCCGACTGGGTGTCCTTTGACCAATCACCAGGAGACTGGGAGTTCTAGTCCTACTTTAGGCATGAAAGCCGGTTTTGGGTGATTACCCAAAGTCAACCAGCCGTCTTTCATGCCTACCGCAGGACTAGAGCTCACAGCCTCCCACTTTCTAGCCTGGTGCCTTAACCACCAGATTAAACCGACTCTTATCTCGCTCTGCTACCGGTATTCTTTTCCTTTTTTCCTCTTCAGGTTTAACTTGACGAACGTAATTCCCATGCGGTTCTGGGGCCGAGTGCTGGGCTTACAGGCCAAGCACTCGCAGTTCCTGCTGGAGGAGAAGCCCTTTCGCATCCTTGGCGGCTCAATGCACTATTTCCGCATCCCCCAGGAATATTGGAGGGACCGCTTGGTCAAGATGAAGGCCTGCGGCCTGAACACCCTCACAACGTAAGGCTTGTCTGCTCTTCACGGCCGGCTCAGCTTTGTCTCAATGTACCGTATTTTTCAGAGTATAAGGCACTCCGGATTATAAGACGCATGTCAGGATTCTGATGCTGCCATAAAAAGACGAGGCTTGACTTTTCACCTACTTATTTTCTCTGTAGATAATATCCCCTAGGAGATGGGATGGGAGGGGGGAACATTCCTGTGGGGTGAGGTCAGAAGCTGGGGAAAGATGAATTGGGGAACGGAAAGGGAAGGGTTTGGGGGTCAGAGGGTTAGTATTGGCTAAGACGAAGGAGGTAAATTGCTGGGAGGCAGAGGCCAAAGGGTGGGGGCCGGCAGGTGGGCGTGGCTACATTCCGTGTATAAGACACCCAAATTTTCACCCTCTTTTAGGGGGAGGAAAGTGCGTTTTATACTCCGAAAAATACGGTAATTGCCGATTTTACTGGAATACAGATAGTCCTTGATTTACAACCCGTAACGTAGTGGCTATTCAAAGTTCTGATGCACACACCTGGGGTGGGGTGGGGGAAGTGGTACTTACAACCCAGATTCGGTAGTTTTGATGGTAGGGGGAACCCCACAGTCATGGGGTGCTTAGCACCCAGGTTGAAGTTATGGCTGTCGGCAGTATCCTGCTAGCTAATAAATCCTAGCATGTATTTCTCATTTTGCCAAATCCGCACCCGTAGCGAACCATTCGGTTCCCTTAACAACTCTGGCGTTCGCTTAATGGCCATGGCGATTTGCTTAACGTCTGCTGCAAAAGTCGTAAAGTCAGATCGGTCGCGGGCCTCTATTACGGAGATATTTATTCACTGCGTGTTCCAGGTATGTCCCGTGGAACCTTCACGAGGCCGTCAGAGGGAAGTTTGACTTCAGCGGAAACTTGGACCTGCAGTACGTATTGGAGATTTTCCTTTTCTTTACGAAACGAATCTAGTAATCTAAAAATCCGTTTTCACCTGATATCAAATTTATATATGCTGAGTTTCTCGTTCTTATGCAGCACTAGGAAACGGAGGGATGGTTTTAGAAGTAAAGGGGTGGAGAGAGAGTTTGAGTTGGAAATCAGAAGTACAGGAGGTTCTTGTGCTATTGATCATAATAAAAACGATTGGGCATTATGTACACAGCTTTGAGACATATAAATAAAAGCAGAAATTTTATTCTAGTAGTTCATTCTAGTAGTTTTATTCTAATAGTAGATAGCTATAACTTTTGCAAACTCTATAGTTGGCAGGAAAATTTCATGGGTCCCTTTTAATAATCCATACATTCTACAGTTAGGTCTTTAGATAAAGTTACAGTGTTCCTCCGAAAATAAGACCCTGTCTTATATTTTTCTGAACCCCGAAAAAAGTGCTTGGACTTATTTTCAACGAGGTCTTATTATTTTGGGCCGCGTGGAGCAAGACGGGGCTCCTCTTGCCGTCTTACCTGATTTTTTTTTTTAATTTGATTTATATGCCGCCCTTCTCCGGAGACTCAGGGCGGCTTACAATGCGTTAAGCAATTTCCAGCTCTGTCTCCCTAACCCTAACCGGAGGAAATGGCGGGGACTGGCTGTGCATGCGTTTAAATATTTTTTGGGAGGGCTTATTTTTGGGGAGGGTTTATTTTAGCACATGCGCTCAAAAGCCTGATTGGCCTTATTATCCGGGGAGGTCTTATTTTCAGGGAAACAGGCTAGTTTTTCAGCCGTGGTGGCGCAGTGGTTAGAATGCAGTATTGCAGGCTAATTCTGCCGATTGCCAGGCGTTCGATCCTGACCGGCTCCAGGTTGATTCATCCTTCCGTCCTTCCGAGGTCGGTAAAACGTGGATCCAGATTATTGCGGGCAAAATGCTGACTCTCTAAACCGCTTAGAGAGAGCTGTAAAGCACTGTGAAGCGGTATATAAATTTTAAGTGCTATTGCTATTTTTTTTTTTTTTTATTTGATTTATATGCCGCCCTTCTCCGGAGACTCAGGGCGGCTTACAGTGCGTTAAGCAATAGCCTTCATCCTTTTGTATATTTATACAAAGTCAGCTTATTGCCCCCACAAACTGGGTCCTCATTTAACCTACCTTAGAAAGGATGGAAGGCTGAGTCAACCTTGAGCCTTGGAGAGATTTGAACCTGCAGAAATTGCAGGCAGCTGTGTTAATAACAGGGTGCATTAAACCACCATTTTGAGCTTCCTTTGCTAAATTTCAAGCCGTTTTGCCCTTGCAGTCCTGTTGCCATTTCTCCTTTGCTTCTCTAGGGCTTTTCTTAGGACAGCAGAAGAAGTAGGACTATGGGTGATACTGCGTCCCGGACCATATATATGCTCAGAGTGGGACCTCGGTGGCCTCCCCAGGTAAGTCTGAATGATTTAGACTTCTGTGTAAAATGCTGCTACTGAACTGTGTCTGCAGCTTTCATGGTCTAATTTTAAGGAGAAGAAATCAGATAATTAGAACATAAATAGAACAGAGAGGCAGCCAAATGGAACGTAAGAATCTAGACAAACTCAGCGGTTATTCCTTTTGCAGTGGACCTTGTTGATAAAAGAGAGAGAGAGAGAGAAGCTCTGAACTTTTGCCTGCTAAATCGCTTTGAAGTTGGGTTGTCGTGGAAATGAAGAGGGGGGGGGAACATTCCTGGGAAATGACGAGACAAGAAGTCTGAAGAATGACTTGGAAGATAGCCAATGAGAAGCAGAGATTTGGGGATCGGAAAGAGAGGGATTGGGGGGCAAAAGGTTAGTCTTGTCCGCATCGAGTCATGATCCGGTGGCTGTGCTCAATTAAAGAAAAGATTTCCTTAAAGATTGGCAGTTTGGAAATTCATTTATTTTGAGATAGCATCGAAGTCTGACAAAAATATTATTTTATTTTAAATATTCTACATAATAGGCCTGTGATGGCAAATTTATGGCATGTGTGCCTCAGGTGGCACACAGCGTCCTCTCTGTGGGCACACGAGCCATTGCCCCAGTTCAGCTCTGCCACGCATGCACACATGCCTCCCATCGGCCAGCTGGTCATCGGCTCTCTGCCATGGGGGGCAGGGCATGTACAGGAGGGGGGGTCGCATGTGAATGCGCGCAGGTGGGTGCGTACACATGCGCGGGGGCACGGCAGGTGCAGGAGGGCGTGCACGCATGCACAGGGAGAGGGGCATGTGGGGGCACACACGCATGGCGGGGTTTAGCCAAGATTTAGCCATCACTGTAATAGGCTGTTTCTTCCAAAATGACATGTATCTGGTTTGCACAGAACTAATTTGGTTTCCTGTTAGCGGCAAGCTTTCTGCTTGGCGTGTTCCACGGAACTGTCGTTCCAACTGATACTTCTTTTGGTTCCGAGCAATATTCCCTCGTCCTTTTCACCTTCCTGACATTTTAGATGTTGCAGCCTCAAAGTATAAGTTGCAAATCCTAAAACCGGAGAAGCCTGTTTAAAAAGTTGGGAGAAATTTCCCTGCCGATTAAAGTTCTGTATTGCGAAGTCTTTCTTCCTTCTCCCAAAGGTGTTTTTTTTTTTCAAAAGGCAACTGGACTTTCTGTTTTCTCTGGCCACTCAAAAAGTGGCCAACTTTTTTTTTTTTTTTTAACTTTTAAAACCATTTTTTTCTACAACCTCTTCAGCTGAAGAGGTTGTAAAAAAATGCTTTTAAAAGCCTCTGACGATCCCAGCTGACTTGCCTGATCAGCAGAGGCTTTTTTTCCTTTTAAAAACATTTTTTTCTATAACCTCTTCGGCCGAAGAGGTTGTAGAAAAAATGCTTTTAAAAGCCTCTGATGATCCCAGCTGAGCCGTGCGATCATCAGAGGCTTTTTTTTTTTTTTTTTACTTTTTAAAGCATTTTTTCGGCCGAAGAGGTTGTAGAAAAAATGCTTTTAAAAATAAAAAATAGCCTCTGATGATTGTGCGGGTCAGCTGGGCAATGGGGCGGGGGGCAGGGATTTTTGCTACCGGTTCTCCGAACCACCCGCCTCCATTGCTACCGGATCAGGCGATCCGGTCCGAACCGGGAGCATTTCACCCCTGCTCTGCTTCACCCGAGTCAGAAAACAGCTCTTCTCGGTTCCTCTGCAACCCCCACTGACCGCTCTTTTGGGTCAGAAGTTGAGGCAAAATTCCCCGCAGAAACATTTCTCCCCCCCCCCCCAAAAAATAGGGGTGAGGGTGGGGGAGGGAAATCAGCCATCTTGTTGAATGCAACTTCCCCCGTTTCTCAGTTTAGATTGTTACAGAAAAGTGCATCCGCGAAGCCTGGCCTTCTGTTGAAATTCTCTCTTGACACACTTTGGAGTCATCCGCAAGCGATATTTTGACCCTGAAGTTCAGAGACTTAAAAGCAGAACGGGGGCGGCGGGTGGGGGGAATGGCCTGACGAATGGGGAAGGACAAGCTATCTCAGGAATTAGGAACCCTGTCATCAAAGCTGTGGAGATGGAGAAAGAAGAGGGGAGAAAAGGGAACAATAGGCCAGTTTATGCGGGGTGACGGGGGTGAGAAGTTGCCTGATGCCAGAGTGTTTTTTTTTTGCCACCCAGAATAAAAAGCACCGTTTGTTCTTTCTGCATTCAATTATTCAGCGTAAAAGCATTTTCTGCCTTCCTTCCTTCCATTCGCTCCCTCCCTCCACGCCTATTTCACATAAAAGCAGCGGACAACATTTTTCAAGAGAATGATTTTGTGGGGGGGGGATCCATAATGGCGGAGAGCATAAGTAGGCCATGTTGGTTCATTCTAGGCACGAAAAGTAGTGTCCCGTGCCTAAATATCTTGATTTCTGGCTGTCTTTTCAGAGCTTGGGGGGGGGGCAATATAGAATATTTATGGCTCGGGGTGGAAGTGCGGGGGAGTGGCCTAGAGGTGGAGCTCTCGCCTCACAATCAGGAGGCTGTGAGTTCGATCCTAGGTAGAGAGGCAGATATTTCTGTCTCTGGGCACACTGAGAATATGTCTGCCGAACAAAACTCCTCATTGGCGACAGGAAGGGCATCCGACCATTAAAACACTCTGCTATCTCCATTCAGTTGCCCAGACTCCATCCCGCAAGGGACTATGGGGTGGTTGAATGAAGATGAGGAGGAGGAGGAGGGTGGAATTGCGGGGGTCCTTGATGCCTTCTGAGCTTGGTTGTTTTCTCGCAAACGTTTCATGACCCAACTAGGCAACATCATCAGCTCTAGAAGGAAGTAGGGTTTGCTCTTTGTTAATACACTACCGGCTTGCCCTATCAGGATTGGTGGGAGTGTTGTTTTCTTCTTGTCAGTTCCTTGATTGGCCTGTCAAAATACCTCCTCGCCCGTAATTAACACCCAGATTATTATTTATTTATTTTTATTTATTAAATTTGTATATCGCCCTACTCCCGAAGGACTCAGGGCGGTGAACAGCCAAATAAAATACATATAATACAAATGTTAAAAAACCATTAAAATACAATTAAATAATTGGCCCAGAGAACGAAATTTAAAACACCTCAAATTCTCAAGGTCGACTCAGCCTTCCATCCTTTCTAAGGTGGGTAAAATGAGGACCCGGTTTGTGGGGGCAATAAGCTGACTTTGTATAAAATATAAACAAACCTCGACCTCGACCTCGAGGCGTCTCACATGGGGGGTGCCGTAAGGGTCAGTCCTCTCGCCCCTCCTGTTCAATATTTATGTGAAGCCACTGGGTGAGATCATCCGTGGTTTTGGGGTGAAGTGCCATCTGTACGCTGATGATACTCAGCTGTACATCTCCACCCCAGACCACCCCAACGATGCCCTTGATGTGATGTCTCGCTGCCTGGAGGCCGTGCGGGTCTGGATGGGGAAGAACTTGCTCAGACTCAACCCCTCCAAGACCGAGTGGCTGTGGCTTCCGGCGCCCCGATATAGTCAGGTGCCATCGCTAACTATTGGGGGTGAATCTCTGCCCCCCACAGAGAGGGCTCGCAATCTGGGTGTCCTTCTGGATGCACGGCTGTCTTTAGAAGAGCATATGACGGCCGTGGCCAGGGGGGCCTTTTATCAGGTTTGCCTGATTCACCAGTTGCAGCCCTTTCTGGATCGGGACGCCCTACGCACGGTCACTCATGCCCTTGTTACTTCCCGGTTGGACTATTGTAATGCTCTCTACATGGGGCTCCCCTTGAAGAGCACTCGGAGGCTCCAACTGGTCCAGAATGCGGCCGCGCGGGTGGTTATGGGCGCAACTCGTTGTGCCCATGTGACACCCCTCCTGCGCGAGCTGCACTGGCTCCCAGTGGTCTTCCGGGTGCGATTCAAGGTGTTAGTTACCAACTTTAAAGCACTCCATGGCATAGGACCCGGGTACCTCCGAGACCGTCTTCTGCCACCAATAGCCTCCCACCGACCAGTCCGTTCCCACAGAGAGGGTCTCCTCAGGGTGCCATCGGCCAAGTTATGTCGACTGGCGGCGCCCAGGGGGAGGGCCTTCTCTGTGGGAGCCCCAGCCCTGTGGAACGAACTGCCCCCGGAAATTCGTAAGATCTCCGACCTCCGGGCGTTTCGCTGCGCACTGAAGACCCTATTATTCCGCCAGGCCGGACTAGCAACACAATAGTTTTTAAATTGGGATATTTAAATTTATTGGGGTTTTAAATCTGAGCCACTTTATTTAATTATTTTAAATTTTATATTGTTGTTTTGTTTGTGTTTTTAAACAGGCTGTACACCGCCCTGAGTCCTTCGGGAGAAGGGCGGTATAGAAATAAAATTATTATTATTATTATTATTAAAAGTATGAAGGCTATTGCTTAACGCATTGTAAGCCGCCCTGAGTCTCCGGAGAAGGGCGGCATATAAACATAAATTAAAAAAAAAAAAATTAAAAAAAATAAGACAAATTAAAAAAAAAAAATTTAAAAATTTAAAAGAGAGGTTAGGCCAGGCCGGCCTGCTGGAAAAGAAATGTTTTGATGGCACGGCGGAAAGCGCGCAGGTCAGGGATCCTCCGTATCTCCGGGGGGAGCTTGTTCCACATGGCGGGTGCCCCCACAGAGAAGGCTCTCCCCCTGGGGGCCGTCAGTCGACATTGTTTGGCCGACGGCACCCTGAGGAGCCCCTCTCTACGGGAGCGTACTGGTCGGTGAGATAAATAGAGATTAACACCAGTATTGATAATAGACCACCAACTGAGTGGAAAATAAAAGCCCAACCCAGACTAACAAAGAGAAAACAGCCATCAAGACTCCCACTCCCACCAACAGTGACAGGGCACTGTCTTTTCCAGCACTGATATTTCCTTAGTTGGGTCATCTCCTTTCTAGACCGGGACTCGTTACGCACGGTCACTCATGCCCTCGTCACCTCTCGTCTGGACTATTGTAACACTCTCTACATGGGGCTCCCCT